GTTGATTGCGTGTGTAAGTCCAAATCCCACTTCTGACACCAGTTGTCGCGTATCGGGCGTATATCGCGACAAATAACTTCACGCCGTATTTTATATAGCGAATTTTATTTCACATCCGCTCTCACAATCACCCAAATTGCAGATTTACGATTACTGCTATTTGCAGTATCACAATTAGTACACTCCAAATGCCGCAATACAACTGACTGGTTGCTGGCTAACTAACTCGGAGGTAGCTCGAGGACTCACTTGGCGGTAGCTCCAGGACTAACTGACTGACTCAGTACAACTAACTGTGAATAGCCTTCGCTGTTCCCCATGTAGCCTTGATCGGACCATACGGAAAACGGCCACGTAATAGGCACCCTTGTTGCCTGGCGCCGTGTTGCTAGTAACGCTAGCGGTAGTAACCGCTGTTACTACCGTAACAATCCTGTAGCGTCACCGTTACGTTACCGTGCGGAGGAGGGGGAGGGGAGCGCTGACTCACCCGCCGCGTCACTGCTGGTGGGGGGGGGTTCTCCTTTGCGCAACATGTCACAATATATTACGTATTTGGTTTCAAAGACAAAACAACTCCGTCTAATGTGACTATTTAAGTTGCTACTTGAAAACAACAGTGAAAATAACACAGCACGCCACGAACAAACACAGGATGATACTAAGAATCTCCTTCTCAAGATAGACCGGTGGTACAAGTTCAGCCCCCTTCAAGAAAGACAGTAGGAGAAGTGACATGAACCTACTTAGTCTATAAATTTTAACTTAAACAACAACGTTTTAAAAACCTTAATATACCAGGAAAGCTGCTGTGATTGTGGAAAAATTGGATTTTGTGTATATTGTGTATTCCAGGCATTATGTGTGTATGTAATTTAGCACTCAGAACACCTATTGTGATAGTAGTTTCCAAATAAGTATCAATGTTCCCTCTGAAGATTGTCCGTAAGGATCAAAACATGTAAGGGTACTAAGTTTTCAAGTAGTAAAACTTAAATAGTCACACTAGATGGAGTTTTTTGTCTTTGTAATTGTTAGTGTGACGGACCAGAATGAAACAAATCAAATTAAAAAAAATATTTGGTTTATTTAATGTTGCTGTCAGTAGTTGAGACTATGTAACAACACCTGTGATATTGATCATGTTTATGGTTGACGGCACTGTGTGGGAGTGCACTGTGCTGCTGCTGTGTAAGAGATCTTAGCTATTTTCATCTTCAGGGTAAAATGACACCATGGCCCTTGCTAAAACTTCAAGAGTTTATATCCATAATTGTTTTGTAACCAGTAGGATGTGGGGGCACATGGTAGTGTACAAGGTGTGGCAATAAAGAAACCGGATTCATGCTCTAACCCTTTATTAAAAAAAAATCAGACAGTCGAAATGTTATCCCCTTCAATGTAGTCCCCTCCCCGATCCCTACACCGCTCCATGCGAATTTTCCACTGTTGGAAGCAGTGCTGCAGGTCATCTTGTGTTATGCTCTTCAAGAGTTGCGTCGCTTTTGCTTTCACTGCATCCACGGACTCGAACCT